TAGTAGTTTGCAGGACATTTCGTAAAGCAAAAAATTTGTAAACTGAAACACTGTTTCCCATAGGAATGCATTGAAAACCAATGAATCCATTCCGAAGGTCAGAAAAACAGTAAACGCTACTAAAATACTGCATGAGTTATTTTATCAACTCATGCGGTATTTTAGTAGTGACAACCATGTGTTATTGTTTCAGCTGTCAGTGGGTTACCCACTGATAACTGAATGTAAAAGAATTGCTGCTAATTAAAAAAAAGTTTTTAATTGCTGGCAATTCTTTTACACTCAACTGTCAGGGGCCAGTGTTTAAATGTAATTACCCTCTTTTTTTTTTTCTACACTATACAGTAGTTCAGTAATTCAGCTGTCACTTTCCCCCCCTACAGCTAAAAGAGAGAAAGTTTCTTTTAGTTTATTTCCCCAAGTTAAAAGATACAATGTTTCCTTTCAGTTTCTTAAAATATATAAAGTACTCTTTAGCTCCAGGGAAAGTGACAGATAATGTTGTGAGCTATAGTGAAGAAAAAAAAAAAGATGGCAATTGCAGTTAAAAATCAGCACTGACACACTTCATATTGTGAAAGGCATTATTTTCAATGGATTTTCATTCGTAAACCGAACATTACGTTCGCAGAGGCATTCGTACACCGAGGTATTACTGTATAAGCTATGTTCCTTTTTTTTTTTGTATGCAGCCTGTGGACTGAATGAAAAAAGAAGAAATCTCTGCTAGAAAAAGTGTGTGGTATGCCCACCATTAGAATACCTCCCTGCATCCACCTACTTCTAATGGTGGGCACACATTAGGTCACACGGTGCCAAATGCGCCAATTTACAAGATTGTACAATTGTCTAAATAGTGGCACGCTTGAATAAAAATTGTCCATGTATAAGTGGTACCCCCATATGGAAAAAGGATGACACCAAGTCCCAAACTATCTTGTCACTGCTCCCCATGTAGTCTGGGCATCTGGGGGGCTCCATGTGACTATCTTTTCCCTCATAAATCCAAAACTTATAAGTATAGCCTGTTGTCCTCTCACAGGTCTTCTACATCTTGACCCCATATCTGGCACGCTTTGCTGGGGAGAAATTGTTTGAATGCAAGGCGGCCAGAAAAAATTAATGAGGGACTCATCAACCAGATGTTTTGCTGGATAGTATAGACATCTGCACATTTTTGGTTAAGGTGAATTTTGTAGAGCTGGTCAAATTCAGGGTCACCCCTAGGACAACAGAGTGTATTGTCATTGAAATGCATAAAACACATTATACTCTCATATCTATGCCTGGCCATGGCAGCAGAGAACACGGCATATGATGAATCGGGTCTGCAGACCAATACAACCGCAATTCATTTTTTTAGTAATGCCCATGTTGAGGGTTAGGTCCAAAAAAATGTAAATTCGGAAACCGTAATGAGTTTCCATGCGAATGGTCTGGCGCAAGGTTTGAATTTGGGTTGGCGGTGATAAATTGTTGTGCATATAAATTGCTTTGATTCACAATCAATGCATACAGATATTCTGTGAAAAACAGCTCCAAAAAATCAAGGGGAGTAGTTAAATTTGCTGTTTCCACCTGAATTCCGGGTTAGGCAGTGAATGGGGGAAGTACGGGTGCTGCAGAATTTGTGGGTTGCCAATCGGGATTTGCAAGCACATCTGGAAGGATACTAGGGGCTCTACAGGCCTGTGTGCGAATTCTTGGTGGTTGCTGGACAATACTTGTGCTCGCCACCGCAGCAGCTTGTACTGCACTTATGGGACTCTCGCCACATCACCAAGTGATACTGCAGTGCTGGTATTATTATTATTATTATACAGGATTTATATAGAGCCAACAGTTTGCTCAGCACTTTATAGTATAACAGGAGACAATACAGCAATACAGATCAATACAAGAGGGTTAGGAGGGCCTGATCCTGGGAGCTTACAATCTAAGAGGTATGTGAAAGACCAGGATGTAGTAGGCCACTAGTGCTTGCCAGTTCACCAAAAGGTAGCGTGGCACTAGTACTGGCACTCTGCTGCATATGAGAGTCATCAAAATTTACTGGCAAGTGCTAGCAGAGATTAGGCCTGATTCTGCCAACACTGCGTTTTTTGTGTGCAATTTATCAAGTGACGGTGACCTACTGACGCTGCACTTTCTGGGGGAGAAGGGGGGGTAAGCGTAGGGGCTAAACGCAGGTGCTGATCCCACTAACGCTGTGTGTTTTTGGGGACACTATACTAATGTGAACGCTGGTATAGTGCTGATCTTATCAAAGATATTGATCCGTTCAGACACTATACTAGCAATAGAGTTTTATTGTGTATAAGCATCTTCCTGGAAATCAAGCGGTTAAATGTGATTACTGGTGTACTGATGGGCAATCTGACGCTATCTGGGAGGGGCGTGAAAATCACAGGAGCACCAAACACGTGTGTGTATATATATGTATATATATATATATTTTTTTATATATATATATATATACAGTTGTGTTCAAAATAATAGCAGTCATTGGTCCTGACGAAGCTGAGTGAGATACGCCCATCGGCGAAACGCGTTGACGTCATACGTCAGATACGTCACTTCCGGTCATGCGCATTGGCGTTATGCACGCCGAACAACTAGGAGGCGGCCATCTTCACATGTCATGAGCCATGCAAGGCTGTACAGGCGCCATGGAGAGAACGGAACCCGCAAGATATCGGCTGATGTAAGCGGTTGTTCCCTGGATCAATACGGCAGTACATGTGAAGGACATTTCCATTATTTACTACCCATGGCACAGGTGGTGAGTGGACTGTTACAAGAGTAACGAAGAAGGTTTCTTGTTACCTATTATATACATCAGAGTAGGAGTACCCAGATTGACTGTCCTTTTATCATTTGTCTTATTTCAGGATGGGGACATTATGAAGTATTATCTAGATGCAAGGCATACAGCATTTATTACAACAAACGGAAGACCCATCGGGCCTCATTCCATCACGTATATCACAGTGGTTTATAGTCCACACGTTGTGGTGAAGAAACCTTGTAAAGCAGGGCTCTGCTATCTACATCTACATCAAGAGTGGGCGGCCACTGGCATCCTTAATTCCATCAACACATCAACAGGGACTCCTCCATTTATGAGAATTTCTACAACTATCTGCATCTACCAAGGGTGGATGGGTCTCACTCACATGTGCCTCTATAGGGTTGTACTGCATGAGTTCATATTAATATCACTGGGGTTTATTCCCCTTTATGCAATTTTTTACCCACGTTGCCTTGAACAGACTAAGGGTTATGTCTCTTTCCACATGGCAACTGTATTAGCTATTATGCATAGCATGTCATAATTATATTATATATATACCTATGGTACAATTTTTTGAAATACCTCCTACTGGTAGTGTAACCAATGTGCGGTGCTGGAAAATGCTTTAGACAAGGTTTGTCATTGTCTCTGCAGCACATATATATATCCAGACCGGTCTTGGTGTGGTTTTAAATGGTTTTAGGTCTGTGTGCATTGTCTCATACTGAGGTGATGGTGAACCAGGGCGATTGCCCTATTGTCTATTATTAATGTGTAATAAAGCATAATTTTTTGGAAATTTTTCAGAGTATCGCATTCTGATATCACCCAGTCCCCGCCCTACTCTGGACCAATCAGTGAGCAGTATGGGTGGAGGAATGGATTTAGTGTTCATGACCCACCTGTGCTGATCTCTGTAGGAGTGTCCTCCTCTATAAATGTCCCCGTTATTCCATCCTCCTCCATAGACTGCTGATCATCCCTCACATACGCCTCTTCTTCTTCTGCTTTCACCTCAAATTCTATATCGATTGGATCTCCACTCTAAATCAAGGAAATGAGAGAAAATATCATCTGTAAAATGTAAGATTTATGATTGTGACATCACACACAAAATCCACACATTGTCTCCCTTCACAGAAGCAGATCACATGTGATATGTAGGTACATTTCCCCTAAATACCGCATGCCATCCTGAAACTGTCCATTTCCTATCCCGTGTTGCGGTATTGACCACAAACACTGAACACGCTCAGTAAATACCGCATGAACAGGCGTTACATTCACAGAAGGAAATAAAGAATGAAATGCATGCGGTCATTAATTAGTGGTGGAGACATGCGGCATTCAGGAAATGTGTACTGCTTGGTAAAGAGTGGGCGGCCGCTGGCATCCTTAACAACCAGTAAAAACAACATGGTTGTTAGGGAGCGAGCGGCCGCCTCGTCCTAACCAACCGATAAATCTAAAAAAAAGAATTACCGGCAATGAAAAATTAAGAAAATGGCATGGGGTCCCCCCTCAGGTCTTTTATGGATTTTGAGGGGACCACTTGCCAAAATAAAATAAAAAAAACATACCAGACCCCTATCTGAGCATGCAGCCCAGCAGGTCAGGAAAGGGGGGATGAGCAAGTGACCCCCCCCTTCTGAAACATACCAGGCCACGTGCCCTTAACTGTCACTGCTGACTCCGAAAGAAAAGCTCCGCTCCCAATGAAGATTCCCCTCTGTCTGACAGCTCTGCTGCCTCCTGCCACTAAATATACTAAGGGACGGTGCCACTCGGTGATGTCACTGACCGGGGCATGTTGTATTGGTGATGTCACAAGAGGGCAAGGCCACCCAGTTATGTCACAGGGTAGTAGCGCTCCTTAGTTTATTTAGAAGTGGGAGGCGGCAGAGCTGTCAGATGGCAGGAGGGGAATTTGTTTTTTCTTCTAGTTAGTGATGACAGCGAGTATTGTGATTGGATCATTGATGGATCTACATCAGGGGGATATTTTTCTTTATTTTGTTTTGTCAGAAATTTCTTCCAGTGTTTTTTTACACTTTTTTTGGTGAATGAATAGGGGTACTATGTACTCTATATTCATTCACATTGTGGGGGGGTTGGGATCTGGGGGCCTCCTTGTTAAAGGTGGGTTCCAGATTCCAATAAGCCCCCCACCCACAGCCCCCCACAACCACAGCCCAGGGTTGTAGGGACAACCCGGTGATGTGAGGGGCGGCTGATTGTCCATCATGACGTCCTTGTAGAGATCCTTGTGTCCTTCTAAATACTCCCACTCCTCCATGGAGAAATAGACAGTGACACCCTGACACCTTATAGGAACCTGACACACACAATGATACAGTCACCATCCAGACACATCCCTTGTCTGTTACTGGAGAATGTCCCAGAATTCCCGGCCCGCTCACCTCTCCTGTCAGCAGCTCAGTGATCTCTCTGGTGACTTCTAGAATCTTCTTCTTCTTTCTCTCTTCTATCAGGGAGGGAGGTGGAGGCAATGTGATGTCATATGATCTCCAGACTTCACAGGAGGAAAACTCTACATCTGAACACAAATAGTCACATCAAATGATATTCCCAGAATCCTCCTCACCTCTCCATTCAGGTCTCCATTTTATTAAAGCCCCACTTCAGCCTGAGGTATAAGGAATTCTGACATCATTACATAAAATGAAGGAACAACAGTTCTGCTTTAGTTGTGAGGATGTAAAGGGTCACATCTTAAGAGCACCGACAAAAAAGAAAAAAATAGCTGGATGGAGGGAGATTGGGAGGAGGAGCTGTGAGGTCAGTGTGATGTCATAGGATTCTCTGACTCTGGATGGGGGGACATAGGGAGGAGGAGCTGTGAGGTCAGTGTGATGTCATAGGATTCTCTGACTCTGGATGGAGGGAGATTGGGAGGAGGAGCTGTGAGGGAGGTCAGTGTGATGTCATAGGATTCTCTGACTCTGGATGGGGGGACATAGGGAGGAGGAGCTGTGAGGTCAGTGTGATGTCATAGGATTCTCTGACTCTGGATGGGGGGACATTGGGAGGAGGAGCTGTGAGGTCAGTGTGATGTCATAGGATTCTCTGACTCTGGATGGGGGGACATTGGGAGGAGGAGCTGTGAGGTCAGTGTGATGTCATAGGATTCTCTGACTCTGGATGGAGGGACATTGGGGGAGGAGCTGTGAGGTCAGTGTGATGTCATAGGACATATAGACTCTGGATGGAGGGACATTTGGATGGGGAGATTTGAGGCTCCCATGTAAACCAAATCATTGTTCCTGGGTGCGTCCTACCGCTCCTAAACTGAAGAGTGAACTTTGACCTTTACCATCCAGAAATCTGTCCGGAATCTGTGGAAGTGTTATTAGTCATGGACTTAATCATCCAGTGCTTATCTGTTCCTGTCCTAAAATTTATGACGATAGCTTTGAAATGTGCACACATTGGAAGACAACTCACGCTGACACCACAAGTTCAGTCTATGAATACTTCTAGCGTTTTATTATAATGAGAAAGTGAACTTATATATGCAGAATGATGCGGAGTCATGTGACAACAGCATAAGCATTATATTTAGTCTTTGATTGGTCACTTTACAACGAAAACAATCTCCGTCATGGTATAGGTGTGATCTTCTTCAGTCTTATCTTAAAAAGAGAAAAACATTCTTTTGTCTTCCAAATCACACGATGGGAGGGGGTCTGTTCCTGTGAGCAAAATATTTCTTAAGCAAGGATTTCTTAAAGTACCACAAAGGCCCAGCAGGCAGAAATATTCCACACAAATCATCTATATTCATGTCTAAAAGTAACTATTTATAAAAACTTATAGATAATAGCGTATATATTTATATAATTATACAAAAGGGTAACGAAAAAAACCCTTTTAAAACCCAAATTTCCCTCACGTCCCCCCCCTTTAAAAAGACTATTTTCCTCTGTTTCCCCAAAAAAGGGCCAGCCCCCATCTCCCCTTTTTACCTTTTGGAAAAATCTTTTTTGTGTAAAGTTAGACGGTTTAAAATTTTTTCATCACCCCCCTTGCCACAAAGCTTTGTACATAAGGGAAATTCCCCCTGCTATCCCAAAAAAATTTTTGAGATTACTGTTTGGGGGGGGAGGGGCCGTAATGGGGTATAAGGGTTTTCCCTTTATCATCATATGGGGGTCCTCTTGCTCCCGGTTTTTAAAGGGAAATTTCGTTGTCTACAACTTTGCAAATCAATTTTCCCCACACATGGTATAAACAAAAACATACAACCAGGACCAAAAAAATCAAAAATTATTAGTAAAAGTTTTTCCCCATTTGGACAAGTATTTTTTTGCCACCCACTCATCCAACTGAAATATTTTTTC